TAAGGAAAAGGACAGGAGGAATAAGACGAGCAGAGACAAAGGGAAAACAACACAAATAACGGAATACGCAACATAAGCAAAGAGCCGGAAAAGAAAGGGAACAGAGAAACAAGCTGAAGGAAGATAAGGAAGAGGAATCCTGCTCGGCCGTCTCAACTTCGAGCCTCGTGGCCTCGAGTTGCTGGTAGAAGCTCGTAGCAGGGTCGGCCGTCTCGCAAGGCGAGGTCCTCAGCTTCTCGCGCGAGCTCGGGGCCGCGGGCGGCGAGGTCCGCAGGCCCCAGAGGCTCGACAAGCTCGTCTGCTTCGTCGGCGTGACCATCGGAGTCTCGCTGCATAGCTGATGCAGCTCGAAATAGAAAACCTCGAGCCAACGTGGCTACGGAAGGTTGTTCGTGTTAGCTTGTCGTTGGTGCTCCTTGGTGTTCGCTCGTTGGTCTTGCTTGTTTCGCTGCTGTTGCGGTTTGCTGTTGCGTATGTTGTGCTTGCTGTTGTTTCTGCTGCAGTTAGTGGTGTTGTCGTGCGTGCTGTTGCTGCTGGTGTTGGTGGTGTTGTTGGTGGTGTTGTTGGTGTTGTTGCTGTGCTTTGCTGTTGCTCCTGCTGTTGTTGGTGGCTATGTTGTTGTGCTGGTTGCGGCTGCACTTGTTTGTGTGGCCGCTGCTGTCGTTTGCGCGCGTTGTGTTGCGTGTGTGCGCTGGTGTTATTTGTGTTGGTGGTTCTGTTGCTCTGGCACCGGTCTTTTTTTGTTTCATGGCGCCCTCGAGACTGGGGGCCGCCTCGCTGGAGAGTTCCCGGGACCTCGTCATCACTCTGCCCGGAAGCACCGCGCTCAGAACTCCCAGCGGCTCGCGAGGCACCTCAGGGCTGAGTCGGAACTCGGGGCCGAGGCCTACGAGGCATCGCGCTGCCTCGGCGGTGCGGGCTTGCAGAGGCGCCTGCGCTTGTTGCCGTCGAGCTCATTGTCCTCGAGCGTGGCCATCTTGTCGTCATGCTTCTTGACCTCGAGCGTGGACTTCGTGTCGTTGAGCTTCTTGTCCACGAGGCTCTTGTCCCTGGGTTTGCTGGCGCCCGCCCCCAGCGCGGCGGGTTCCGCCCCCCTCGTCCACTCGTCGCACTTCGCCCGCTCGCCGACGCTCCCGTCGTCCGACCGCTCGGCGACAGGCCGACGATCGTCGCTGTCCGACCCGGCCATGGGGTGCTGCGTATCGGCCATGGCGCGCTGCATCCTCAGCTGGCTTGGGATGATTGGGGCGAAATTGGCCACGGTTGTTGGTTGTTCGTGTTGTTTGTCTTGCTGCTGTTCTCGTTTGTCTTGTTGCTTTTGTTTTTGTTTGTTTGTACTGCTGCGCTTTGTGAGCGTGCGGGTATGCAGCTGCTGCTTGTTCTCCCTGATGCTTGTTTTGGTACTGTTCTGCCATGCTGTGGCTGCTGTTTTGCTGTTTGCTGTTGCTGTCGTGGCTGATGTTGTTTGTGTTTGTGCTCTGGTGCGTGAGTGTGTGTGAGTGTGTGTGTGTGTGAGTGTGTGCGTGCGTCCGTGGGAAGGGTGGGTGTGTGGGAGTGTGCGTGTGTGTGAGTGTGCGAGCGTGCTGGTGTGCGAGTGTGCGTGTGTGTATGTGTGTGCGTGCGTGTGCGCGCGCGTGCGTGCGTGCGCGCGTGCGCGTGCGTTGGCGCGCGTGCGTCGGCGCGCGTTGCGCGCGCGCGCGTGGCCGCCCGGCGTCGAGGCCCAACGCTCGACCCTCGGGCCGACGACCCGAGATCCTGGAGTCTAAGCTTGGCGATCCTCGGATCTACGATCCGAGGCGCTCGCAGATGCTGAAGACCAAGATCTCGGGCCCTCGATCCGAGAATGGAGGGCCGAGCCTGCTCGGTGGCAACGCGGGCCCGGGGGCGACCAGAGAGGCGCTGGGATCGGCCCTCGAGCCTCCGATGTCGAACCCGAGATCTCCCAGTCCCAGCTTGGCGACCATCGGATCTAGGATCCGAAGTGCTCGCAAATGCTCAACGCGAAGATCTCGGGCCCTCGATCCGAGGATGGAAGATCGAGCCTGCTCGGTGGCAGCGCGGGCCCGAGGGCGACCGGAGAAGCGCTTGGCTCGGCCCGCGAGCCTCGGATGTCGAACCCGAGATCTTCCAGTCCAAGCTTGGCGACCATCGGATCTAGGATCCGAGGTGTTCGCAGATGCTCAAGGCCATGATGTGACCCCCGATGCGAGGATGGAGGGTCGAGCCTGCTCGGCAGCAGTGCGGGCTCGAGGGCGGCGCGAGGGGTGATCTACCATCGCCGAGGCTCGGTCCTCGGGCCTCGGATGTCGAGCCCGAGATCTCCCAGTTCAAACTTGGCGGCCCTCGGATCTACAATCCGAAGTGCTCGCAAATGCTCGACGCGAACATCTCGGATCCTCGATCCGAGGATCGAGCCTGCTTGGCGGCAGCGTGGGCTCGGGGGCGGCGGCGAGGGCGGCCTGCCATCGCCCGTGCTCGGCCCTCGAGCCTCGGGCGTCGAGGCCCGATCTCTTCGCGCCCAAGCTTGGCGACCCTCGGATCTAGGACCCAAGGTGCTCGAAGATGCTCGGGCTCAAGATCTCGGGCCCTCGATGCGAGGATGGAGAACCGAGCGTGCTCGGCGGCAATGTGACGGTCGAGGGTCGCCGAGGCTCGGACATCGACCCTCGGGTCGCGAACCCGAGATCTTCGAGCCCAAGCATGGCGACCATCGGATCAAGAACCCAAGGTGCCCGAAGATGCTCGGACTCAAGATCTCGGACCGTCGATCTGAGGATGCAGGATCGAGCCCGCTCGATTCCATGACGATTGGTTGGGGATCACTCGGCGAGAGGGGGGGGGAGTAGCATTCCAAGGCACCGGCGCGTGCTCGAGCGCTCTCTTGGAGCGTGAAAAGCAGGTGGGGCCCGAGCGCGCGCCTCGAAACGACGCCCCCGCAGCGAAAAACACCGGGCGCTTGGCTCGGGGGGCTCGCGCGCTCGGGCGCCCGCGAGCATGGGCGAAGCGGGCCCTGACTCGGCCTTAGTCTCGGCCTGGCTCCTCTCGCCATCGCGCCCGTTCACGTTGAGCTTGTCGCGCCCTTCCTGGATCGACGCGTACTTGCCGAAGTGCAGCTTGTTGTGGTTCTCGAGAAGCACCTCCTCGTGCTTCTTCTGCTTGACGGTTTTCGAGTTGTCCCGCTTGGCGCGCTTGCCTTTGTAGCTGTGCTCGCGCAGCTCGTAGCTCATGTCCGCGGTCTTCTTGATGGACCAGCGCCACCTGATGATGGCTAGGGTCGTAGCCTCGGCGCCCCCGTCGGTCGCCGTCGGGGCCACGGAGGTCTCGCTGCGCCACCTGACATGCTCGCGGGCCCCGCGCGGAATCACGTTGAAGAGCATCCCGGCACTCTCGGCGGGCCTCTCGCGCAAGTGGTTGACTGGCCCGAACTTCTTGTTGATCGGCAGCGCGACCTCGTGGAGGCGGGTGGGGCTCCGCGGGGGTGCTCGGGAAGGCTAACCCGATGCGCTCGGCGTCGGACCCGTGGGTCAGGTTCTCGACCTTCTCGGCGCCGAGCTCCACGTCTCTCTTCTTGGCGAGCTCCTGCAGCTTGGCCTTGAAGGTCGGCATGAGCCAGAAAAGGTCCTCGGTCGGCTCTCCACGGTTCACGAAGATGTCGTGCACGTGCTCTTTCTTTTCGACGTAAGTATTGCAGAACACCGCTACGGCCAGCTCGATGCGCCTCTTGTCCTTCTCGTTGAAGAAGCGGCCGTGCTCGATGATTTTGTGGCACCCGCCTTGGGGGACCATCTCCAGCACGGCTTGCTGGGCGCTCGACGACCACGTGGCGATCTCGGACTTGCAGTAACAACTCGTCAATCACGCTGCATCCGTGCCTTGCGCGCTCGACTGGCACTGGCGCATCTCGGCGATGCTGATTTTCTCGGCGACGTAGCTCTGTTTCTCGAGGATCTTATCATTTTGCTTGGCAATGCGCTCGAGAATCTCGTTCGAGCTCGGGCTCGGCGCCGCCACGTGCTTCAACGCCTCGACGGGCAGGCTCGCGGCAGCTGCGCGCTCGGCGGGCTGGGCCATCGCTGGGGCTCGCGACGCAGTCAGGGGCAACGATGTGAGGGGATAGGCGCTGGGGGGGGGGACATCGACCTGGAATCGGCGATGCATCGCCGGTGCATTTGCGATGCGCGCCCGATGCATCGGCGACGCATCGCAGATTATAAGTCGATGTCCTCCCCCAAATGCCTACGCATCGGCGATACATCGCGGACGCATAGGCACGCCTATCCCCCCCTATCGCTGCCCCTGGGGCGAAGAGGCTCGGCGCCTCGAACAGGCTCGAAAGGTTGGAGTCTCGGAGACTCGGGGAAGCTTTGGCCTGGGCAGCTGCGGGGGCAGAAACGGGGGGAGGAGGAGGAGGAGGAGGATAACGAGGAGGAGGAGGAGGAGGACGAGGAAGAGGAGGAAAGGCCACGAACCGTGTGAGTGGTGCGCCAAAAAAAATAATTCACTTAACGAACTAACTCCAATGTTCTGCCTGCTCGAATAACGCATGCGCAATCAAAATTCACTCGGTCCCCATGGCCCTGCCACACGTTCCTGACTCGGGAACGGCTAAGAAAATGACAATCCCATGGCACTGCCACACGGTCGTAACGTGGGCACACTGAACTGGTGAGAATCCCACAACCCTGCCACACGCTCGTGATTGCGGAAGCTGGTGTGGCGAGGCCACCATGGCCATGCCCAGCGTTTTTGATGTTCTTGCTGATCAGCATGACATGATAGCAGTTTCGATCCCCGCAACTTTCCCGTGGATTTTCAAGTTCGGCCTCCGCGCCTTCCCCACAGATGGATCCCTGTGGTCGGGGATAAATAAATAGAGGGGGTTAAACTGAGGGTACTTTACTATCGCCTGTTAGGGGCTATTTTGTTACACTACTTTGGGACATTCGTTCTGTAGAAGGACGTGCCCCACCTGAGTCTGGGCACGTGGCTTTGGCCCCTTGGCTCCAGCCGCGGCGAGTGGCAGCCCGCGTCGTCGGCGCCGGGGAGGCGCTCGGCGACGCCCTGCGCGGCCAGCGGCTGCCTGGCCCGGGCGATGCGGCTCTCCCGCTCCTGGCGCGCCTCGAGCTCCTGGCGCGCGGGCGCGGCGAGGGGGGAAGGCCGGTCGAGCGCCCAAGGACGTCTCGTCCCGCTTGCGTGATCGGCCTGTTTTCCACGAGCCCAGGGAACCCAGGGCCCCGGGCATCCTGGAGGCAAGCAGGGCGTTTCTTGGCATGGGCCCCCACTGTGAGCGTTTTCTGATTCGGCGTTTCGACATTGGGCGAAAGGGGGGGAGGGGGGGGGGTCTGGCTCTGGACCTCTGCTCAGCGCGACTGTTTGCAACAGTGTTTCCCATGGGGGATTCCCCACCTACTCCATGTGGATGCATTGGGATGGGGGGGAGGGGAGGGGGAACGAGGGCCCGCGCCGACCAGCAAAACAATGGATAAGAAAACGATCAGCAGCAATAGAAGCATGCATCAGCACATCCCGTCAGCAACTTTTGCTTAGCGTGTCGCGGCGGCGGCCCCGGCGACACGCTGTGCCCTGCGAGCGGATAGTCTTTCACTCCGCTCCGCGGGTTGGGAGGTCAAGGAAGGCTCGGGTTGTTGACACTTTGGGGCTGGGATGTGATTAGCGTAATGCGCCAAAGCGTGGTGGGCCAGAACCGGAGGAACGAAACGCGAAGCACGAAATAGATTCCGACCGTATCCAACACACCCCTCACGTGGTGGGTTCCGGAAGCCATGAACTAACAGAAACCTTGCCATAACTTGGAGGACCGATTCCTTGGTGGGCTTGTTTTCCTCCGCCACCACCACAAGTAGGAAGGGGAGGGGGTCCTCCTCCTCCTCCTCGTCTTCCTCCTCCTTGTCTTTTTCCTCCCCCTCCTCGTCCTACTCCGCCTCCTCATCCTCCACTTCCCCCCCTCCAACTTATGGTGGTGGTGGAAAACAGGCCCATCATTCTTACTTCCGCCGGCTTCCGTCGGCGGAGGCGGCCTCGTCTTGCTTCCGCCGCCTTCCGCCGCCCTTTCCGCCGAGGCTGAACCACCGCGCTCCACTACTCGCAGAATGAGTACTCGCAAATGGCCTGGATCCGCCGGGGGGGATCTGCGAGAAATTGCATCGAAGCTGACATGTTTCTTTTTTGTTCGGGCGTTTGCGAACAGGCACTTCGCGAGTAGTGGGACGCGCTCTGCGAGAGGGAAGGATGACAACTCCTTCGTCCTTTGAGGACGAGGCCGTTTTGCCCGAATGCCTCATGCCTGTTGCCGTGCGACGTGCGCAGGCGCAGCCAACAACTGAAAAACAGGACGCGCGCACGATCATGACGCAAGAGCCCCTTGGGCGCCTATATGTCGAAACTCTTCAAACGGGGCTGGCAGTCGAAAGGGGTTGGAGGTGAGGATGCAAGGGTGCCCTTGGGAAGGCTGCCCGTCCTTCGAATATCTTTTAACCGATCCCCATCCCCAGCGGCGTGGCCTGGGCCCCACTGGCCGATTTGCCCCCGTAGATGGGGATCTAGTTTGTTCCATTCGGGTTTCGGGGTGTGTGTCCCCAACTGGGGGGTACTTTGGTGGGGGTCTCGAACGGGATGGGGATGGGATGGGGATTGGTTAAATGATATCGGCTGTTGAACGGGGTTGGAAATGAGGATGCAATGGGTGCCCTTGGGAAGGCTGCCCGCCCTTGCTGTCGATTCCGACTGTCCGACACATACTTCAGCCCGAAAAAACCCCAAACACTAGCCGTGAACACCCCGCCGGGAGAACGGCGGCAGCGCTCTCCACTCGGAGGAAGGCGGAGTCGAGACGACCCCGGCCTCCAACGTTTTGAAGCGGTGCCGATACCAACAGGGTCGGACGAAGCAGGTGGAATCATGGAATAACAACGCGGATCAAGTAGCTTTGGTTCGCGCCGGCCCAAACAATACCGGAACCAATCAGCAACACGCCGACCCTCGAAGCCGGAAGGCGCTTGAAATAAATTGGGATTGGGATATCCCCAAATGCCGAAATTTAACAACTCGCGTGAACGGTTGGTTGCAAAATGAAGCGCCCGTGCTGGGCCCAGGCAGCGCGACATCGAAGCGCGCCCCCCTCGCCCCTTTCCGCAGTTTCAGGCCGATGAGGACGACGGAACCATCGCAAGAAGGGGGCGATTATTTCTTAACGTTCCATGTTCCCCTCCCGCGCCTCTGTCTGGCAACTTTACGCGGGGTGTCGAGGTGGGGGTCTCACGGCACTTTCATAGACGGGCACCTCTTTCGCAACAAGCGGCGCCGCTTCCCTTGCCTCGATTTCGCCGTTTTCGGCCTCCTGGGGGGCCCTCGTCGCCACCGCTGGATTCGCGTCGGATTCCTGGTCAGACCGCGCTCCATGAAAACGAATATGTTTCGCCGTTTTGGGCCTCTGGGGGGGCCCTCGCCAGGCACTGGGACCGTCAGACAACAACCTGGGATCAAAAAGCGGCCCGCGGGGGCCCGGGGAAGGGAAGTCGGGGCATTCGGGGGCCGCGTTTTGAGGATTACCTGGTCACGCGTCCAACCCTTTCTAAACATATGACCAACATATGTTGGACCGCTCACTGCCAACAAACATACTACAGATCATGCAGTGCGCATGAGCTCCCAAAAATACACAACATCAACGCTCGGGAATGACAATATAGGACGGCGACATAAGCATGCAGAGAAGGGTGAACGGGGGAAGTGCGTGTTCAGTGACAGTAGCAGCGCCGAGCGCCACATGCGCCCTGAACCAAAAAACAAAAACGCGTCGCGGTGAAAGAGGCAA